AGCCCACTAATACATGCACATCTTTCCACTGTGTTTAGAACCCTGGCTCCAGACTAGGCACAGAGTGGTGCTCAGGAAATGCTGAATTAGCTGAGAAGTCCCTTCCATCCACCCTCACTGTGCATCCCCTCACCCAGGACAAGGCGTGAAGGGCCCTATCTGCCCCAAGAGGCCTCAGTGCCCACCCCCCTCACCTGGACACTGTTTGCAGCAGTCAGTGGGGTTGGCGCGGACAGGCTGGGCACAGGCCAGCCGGGGACACTGCACCTTCTCACAGTGCACCTCTCCCGTGTCCCCCTGTAGGGATCCATTGTGTGAGGGGTGTTAGGAAGGAGGGGGAGCACTCCTGCTTCCTCCCTCTCCTTCCGCATACCTCGAGTAATATATCCACGGCCTTTTATTAGGCCCTGGGCTGGTGCTTTACATTCCTGAACTAAATCCTCATTGTAGCCCTGCCAGGTAGGTGCTAGCACATCCGCTCACGGGAGAGGAAAGTGCAGCTCAGGGGGGCACAGGAAGTGCCCAGGTGATATGGAGCTAGTCAGCTGGCAGAGCCAGAATTCACACAGGTCACCCTTGCCCTTCTCCTGCAGGAAGCCAGCTCTCAAAGCCCAAAGGACTTTCTCATATTATTTTGATCCTTGAGCCCCCCTCACCAAGGCTGGGCTTTTCCTCTCCTGGAGGCCCCTTCCCATCTCCGCAGCCCCACGGGGGTGTAGCACTGGAGAAGACTGAGCAGCCATACCTTGCAGGTGCAGACGGCACACTTAATTAAGCCAAAAGGGGGAACGACAGGATGCCACCGGGTACCCGCTGCCCGCCAGCTCCGGTCACCATCAAAATAACAGCCTGGTGGCAGACAGTGGCCAGCTGCCGTTAGTACTGAGCTCATTGGCTGGATCCAAAAACCAAGGCTTCAGGCTCAGGCCAACCCCACACCCTCTAACCCCAGGGCCCATTCTCGGGCCAGTCACTCTAATGAAGCCGATCAGGTGTCACTGAAACCTGTGTCCCTCAGCCTTCACCCACCCATATATACTCTCACCCCACCGTCCCCCTCCTGGTCCCACCCAACAGCACCTCTTGGTTCCCCACCCTGGCTCATACACTGCCAGCTCACCCTCTCCGGGGTCCCTGCTCCTCGGCAGCCCTGGCAGGTCTCTGACATCTTGTTTCTCTGTGGAGCCAAAAAATAGTGAAGGCAGAGGGTGACAGCCTCCTTCCCTTCTTAGAGGCCTCATCCGCTGTTGGCGGAGCCCCATGACTGTCTCCACCCCTGCATGGCACTCACCGGGGCACACAGGGCAGCACTGGTCCGGCACCTGCACTGGACTCGGGCAGCTGAGCAGCGGGCACACCACAGGGTCACAAATCACTGTCCGCCTCTGCAGGGAGAGGTGGGAGGTTGACTGGAGCCCTTGCCCCAGAACCCAGGCCCCAGTACGCCTCCTACCTGGCAGGTGCAGAGTGAGCAGAGCGGGTCGTAGTTAGGTGCCCAGCGAGCCCCATGGGGGCGCTGCTGTCCCTCAAAGAAGCAAGTGTTGGGGTCTCGGGCTCTCCAGGGGCTGCCTGGTTTGACTGGCACTGGGGCATCAGGGCCGGGCACAGCGGGCAGCGTGGGCAGTGCAGCTGCGCCCACTGCCTCAGGAGCCCCAGGCTTCCGGGCCTCCTCCGCCCCTGCCTCCGCCAGGCGCAGGCCGCCCACCTCGCATTGGTTGGGGATGTGCACCTGGGAGGAGAGGTGAGCTGAGGCAGCGCCCGGGCTCCCCCTTGCGTCTCCACCAGCAGCAGCCAGCCCGCCAAGCAGAAACACCTCATCCCCTGAGTGCCCCTGTGCCCCAAAAGGATGCTCTTCATTCCAGCA